GGTGTCCCCGGTGTCCGTCCCCCCGCATCCCTCTGCCTGGCCATTACCATTCTCTGCGGTCGCACTGCAAAGCCTTGATGCACCCTTCTGCTCAGCGCCGAGCCGTCCTGCTCCTAAATGGGGTTTTTCTTAGCCTGAAGCTGCACTCGTCTCCGGGATCGCCGGCAGCGCTGGGCAGCGGCGCAGGGCGGGTGGAAGGGACCTGTGTCTGCTTTCGGCTTTGTGCTCAGGCGCTGTGCCTGGGCCAGAGCAGCTTCCAGCCACCCCCGGCTCCGGGAGGAGAGGCCGTGTCCCAGTGGGAGGACGCGTGCCTGCACAGGGTCTGCGTTAGAGCCCCGTGTCACCTCGGGGTGACGGGCAGCCCAGGCAGCGCACAGCAGAGGAGGGCGGTAGGCATGGCCCCACTTGCCTCCAGCCGTGCCTCAGTTTCCCTGGCCGGTTCTGGCTGCCCATAGCCCTCTCAGTTCGGTTTTCTTGTTGCTCCTTCATAAATAAAAAAGCCACTGAAACAGAACCTCTACCATAATGTTTATTAAATAGTACTTTTAAAAGGTTTTTAAAAAAATCATATAAACACAGTTTGATTTTTTTTGTTTTTTTTTTTGTTTGGATTTTTTTTTTTACACCACAGAATCACAGTAAAAGCTCTTTAAGTCCGTAAGTCCTGGCTCAGCCAGTGAACGGTCAAATACCTTGAACTGCAAACCCTGGAGAAGTTCCATTTCTGCATATAATTTCTTAACGGTTTAATTCCCATGCTCACCCCCAGCACCTTCCCACAAAATGAAATCACCCGGCACTACAGACTGCCCGACAGCAACATGTCCTCGCCATGGGAAGGGTGTGGAGGCAGCAGCCCATTTCAGCAACAGCAATACAGCAATTTCTTTTTTTAATTTCTTTTCTGAATTTCACAGAGGGAATTGCGATCAGCAAACCTAATCTATTTGCAGAGGAGGATGCAAAGAATTGAATGCACGGACGACTTTTTTTTTTTTTTCCCCTGTTGAAGTTACAATCAAAAACAGTTTTCTGTTGAACAGTAAAGCACCCAGCAGAGGTAAGTGAGGTATCGGCTTTGCAGCATTATTGGCCTGCTCCCGCCCGGCAAGTGCAGGCGCGTGGGCCCTGCCCCGTCTGGAAGGGGCCAGAGGGACCCGCAGGGCAGACGCGTCGCTGGGCCCATGCCGAGTTAGTGCCAAGATGAGCAGCACTTTCCTGCCCCAGATCAAGAGATATATTAACACGAGTCAGTCCCACGGAATAAGTCACATACACGATACATACAGAGAATTCACGGGCGTGTGCAAACACACTATTTCTGAATATATGTATACACGAACTCCTCTCTGTACGCCTACTAGACACCATAACATCACCTTTTTAATTATATATTTTCACCTATTGTTTGCCTAAGTCGACTCTCCTACTGTACGGTCCTTTTCCATTCATCCTTCCCCTCACCTGTGATTTGAAGGGGATAAAATCATCGAGCAGCAGCAATCCAGCTTTGAAATGGTCTGGTACATTTCCTCTTGCTGCCTCTGTTTCTTTTGTACAGTAAAATAACACCCCTGTGGAATTTGTCCATGAAGAATGCCAGAAGAAATAAGGTGATTTGAAAGGAGAATCCGAGATACATTTACTGCCGTTTCTGTTGGGCGCACAGTGTGAATTAAAAAACTGAAGGCCTTTGTGTGTGTGCGTCTCTGCGTGTGCGTGTATGAACCATGGATGTTTTGATGACACAGCTGCTGGTATCTGCTTCCCCAGTAACACATGCGTCTTTCTTACAGTGGAGAAGTCTTTTTTTCTTTTTTATTCTTCCCTAAAAACTTACTGTGTGACGGAGCTTTTCATGAAACACTAGACAAATGTTCCTATTCCCACCGCACCGAGGAGCAGCTGTGGCACTGTCCGTGCTCATCTCCTCTCCAGATGCTTCTCGTCTCCCCGAACACCTGGCCTCCGGCAGGATGTGTTTGCAGGGGCTGTGCAAACTGAGCTTCACAGCACGTCACACCTTCGGTGCTCTGCGGTTGTGAGGGGAAAAAAATCCATCCCCAACCCAAACTATTTGATAGGCAAAATGTAAAATCAGGACATGTCATATATTTCCAAAGAGCCCCTGGAAAAGCAAACCCAACGTGCTGAAAAGGTTTCTCACTTACGTATGTGCAAGCTGATAGGGGCGATCTGCCTGTACTGAACTGGAAATGAAAGCATTCGTTTGGGGCCCAGCATTTGAATTCTTTTTCTCCACTAAATTGTTTTCATAACACTCCTCTCCCACGGCACAGTGGTAAGTGGAGAGGTATCAGCTGCCAGACAATGTAGCCAGACCACTTGAAAGTAGAAGGACCAGACTTCTTCAGCCAGGCTCTACTCAGTAGAGAGCAGTGCAGAAAAGCATTTTGCTGGGGAAGGATGAAGGCCTCACTTCTTGTTTGATACAGCACTGATAATCAGATGGAGCAAAAATACTTCTTCTAAGGCACTTATTCAAAGTAAACCAAAACACAGTTCATAAATAAAACTTCGGGTTTTTGCTGCTGGTCAGGAGCAGCACAGCTTTGCTCCGCAGGGGGAACGACGGCAGCCGTTTGGGCCAATCTCCAGGGAAAAGGGGAACGCCGTGAGGGCGAGGGGGCCGGTGGGTGCCACGGCTGAGGTCCCAGGGCTGGGGGCATGGCTCCAGCCTCTCTCCCTGTTCACGTCCCCTCCCTGCCACTTTAGAGAGGCCTTGGTGCCGTGCCTCAAGTCAAACCCCGAGTGAAGCCCCCTTCCCAAAGCTGTCGCCTGAGCGTCGGGAGCCTGACAGTCTCTATCTTTTGTTTGCTGCAATTTTCTCTTTATAGGAAAAGAAAAAAAAAAGAAAAATGGCAGGATCAAGAGGGGTGGGAGATTCAAAGAAAGGCCTTCCTGATGAAGGTCTCAGCTGCTGCAATCCAAGATCTGGATTTAATAAATGGCTCTTAGTCACAAATCACTTTAAGGCTCTTCAGCTTCTCTCAAAGAGGTGCTTCTACACATAGGGTTTCCTTTCTATTTTATTTCTTAATGACTTCAGAAAGCCCTGCTGTTACCATCGACACCAAACCCGGTATTCCACCTTTCCCCCCCACCAGCAGGAGGAAAGTTGCAGGTAACAACACGCTTCCATTTTCAGGACTGGAAACTGCACCTTCCAGCACTTAGCGTGAGGTGCACAAATCCCTACACCAAAATGATATCTGGACAGAGTCTAAAATGGACAGGGTATGTGTTTGTGTCATTTCTAAAGACAGGGTGGCTGAAGAAATCCCTCAGCCTTCTCAGCAACTCACTAGAGAAAGGAGATGGGAAATAACGATCGATATTTAGCTTCTCACATCCAAAGGTAAACCAGTCTCCCTTGCCACATCCCAGCCACTCGCATCAGCAGAAAACGAAGATGAACCAACAAGCAAGGGTCTTGGTCCCCCCTTGCCCGGCACAGTCCGGTTGGCAGGAACACCCGCCCGGTCCTGGCAGAGCATGACCCACCAGTGGGACACGGCGGCAGGAGTAGCGCCTCCCCTTGCTGCTCCCGCGCCCCTCATTCCTCGTTATGGCATTCAGTTCCCATAGAAAACAGCAAAAAAGTAACCCCCCGCCAGCCCACCTCACTGGGCGCAATGCTGAGGGTGATCCCCAGGGCACCCATCAGGCCTCTGAGCAGCACTTCTGGTGGTTCATCTTGACCTTGTGCTTGATGCCATCATACAGCTCGAAGTTGTAGTTCTCCAGCGTGGTAGAGCTCCGTGAGGACAGCCCGGCGTATGAGCATGTGCAGTAGAGGAGCAGACCGGCACAGATGGCCCCAAGGAGGACGCCGAGAGAGCTCATCGCTATGATGGTCACCAGGATGGGATCCAGGGTGTAGAGCCAACTTTTTTCTTTGTCCAGCTTCGGGGTTCCTGGAGAGTTAGTAGAGAACAGTGTGTCGTTCCTATCCGATCCAAAGTAATCTGCAGTGGAATGGGCACTTATTATCCAGGGATCACTTTTTTCCCTCCCTACATTTATGCATTTCTTACTTGGAGCTGTGATGGCCTTACAAGTGTATAAGCTCCACCACAGGTATATCTCAGCAGTAATCTCTAACCCAAGTCTAGAAATAATGCAAAGCACCAAACTACCAAGAGAGTTAGGTGCCCTAATTCACTTTTACACCTCAGACTATGTAAATAGCACACTGGCATTTTACACCCATTGAAACTCTGGCCCTTCAAGTGCCACTGGGTTCAAAACTAAGGAACCAATCTCCCACAGCTCACAGACTTAATTTTCTCCCTTTACAAGTCAAAATGCCACACAAGCAGCAATTAATGCTTGAAAGATCAGTTCCACTTGTCCTAACACAAATACAATATATTGACTTTGCAAGGTTGCTCGCTGTTGAAAAAGGAAAACAAGAAAACTAATGTCTTTGTCCAGGCACCGCGCCACCACCTGAGTGTACATTCTCAAGTGTGTTCTAGATCCTAACCCCCATAAAAGTTGAGGTTTGTGAGTAATTGTAGCATCTGATACTGAAACACAAGCACCCCCAGATAAATCACCTATGTGACATTTGGCTACCAACCTGGATCATTGTCTTCAAAGTCTTGCTCAGAGATTGGAAAGTCATCCTCCATTCTTGGGAAGTTCACTAGAACAACAAAATGGGAAGCACTATTTGTTTAAAGAGGTCTTTTGGGGGCATTATTGCCACTGGTCACTGGATTACGAGACTGGCCAGAGGAAAGCAACAGTTGAACTACTGCAAGGCTCTTCCTCGTAGAAGAAGGAAGAATTCTTCCTCTTCTTCCTTTGGCCAAAGTCAATGAAGACTCTTGCACGCTTGAGAGAACAGGATCTGCCCACTACATCACCACCAAATGACCAGCTTTTAACAAGAGAGCAAGCAAAAAGCAAAGCAACCACATAACCGGAATAGTACTAAAATATTGTCACTGGTGCCTGCATAATGGCCGTAATTCACTATTAACATGTTCATGGGTATTACCCTTACAGCTTTGAATAGGATCTTAGTGCCTATCATTATTTGCCACTAATGCTAGATCCATTTAGCACACTCTGATTTTCATCTTTTCCCATACATCTTACTGGACACAGCTTCAATGACCCAGTTTCTCTTTGGGTTTCAGATAAATTCATAGTAATCTGAGGAAGTCACATATCTTCATTATATGTTTTAATGCAAAAGCTGGTTGAAATGGGGAGAGCAGCAAATGGGTGTCCATATCTGGGCATTTCTCTGATCCAAATTCCTTCTAGGGGTGACATTTCTTTTTACTGTTCAGCACACATCAAGCAATAGTAACCAAATGCACATGCTGTAATCTGAGCAGAAGAAAGTTATTTTCCTGTGCAGTCTTCCTAGCATTATCTCTACATATAGTTACCATGTTTTCAGCTTTTCCAAAAGAAAACGCCCTTTCATTTTGATCTGCTTAGATTTTTCAAAGCTGACTGTAACTTGGGGTGCTCACCTGAGAAGGCACCTCGAAATGATCAGGAATGCAGAAAACTAGGGACTACTAGAAAGCGGTAGAAGTCACATCATTGAAATAGTTGTGGTTGAAAACCAAGGCTACTTCATGTCTTGCGCAAAAACAGCAAGGAGAGTTTTAAGAGATTACTTCAACCAACCAGACCCAAAGAATGTAACTTGCGCCTAAAAAGCCACATGCAAAGAAACTATTCAAAACCTTATAAAAGAAGATTTGTGAATATGTGCACAGAGATTTAGGACTGGAAAAGGCCTCCTGAATTGTCAAATCTATTTTTTTGCTATCCCAGGCAATGGTATCGGGCAATCCTGCCAGCGATGTTTCAAGGTTCACTTCCAGAGCAGGGGGCTCTGCTGAATGTCACACCTGACCGCAGTGATCCTCCATGCCGGGACTGATGATACCTTCCTGAATACCCATTCTTTGGGCAGCATTGTCTTTTGCCCTCTGCACTCAGAGGATTAAGACATTTCTTTGAATTTTCAAGCGAAGCTGGCAACAGGAACACACAAAACCCAACACTTGCCCCTCCTGATTATGAGCTCTGCATGTAGTGAGCCAGGCAATTAAGCTGACTCGAGGCTGCTGGTAGCTTGTTGAAGAAACATAGGTGCACACCATCTTCTGTAAACCCTTGCTTTAGCAGCGAGTTCACATGATTTCTCAACACTTCCAGAACTGACAGGCCCAGATGGCAACATCTTAGGGCTGGGAGAACTGCCTGAGGGCCTCTTGCAAACATTTAGAGCTGAACATGTGGAAAAAGAACTCGCAAAGCAGTTCAGACGCAGAGACGTCTGCTTTGCTAGCCCTCCATCAGAAGACAAGCAGTGACATTTGCCATCCATCTCACCCACACAGCCCTATGGAAACTGCAGGTTACTCGTACACGAGTAAAGGCAGAAATTGGACCACGGTCTGCCCAAGGAGTCCATGTGTGGAGAAAGGCCGTTGGAAATATTTTGCCTTTCCATACTGTAGCCGCTCTAAATTTTGTGTGAGAACAAGCCAGCAATTTGGTGCTTTTTATTTCCCAGGGTAGCCTTGAGGGAAAAGCCAGAAAAAACAAAGTATCAGTTAATCAACACTTTCAAAAGAACACCAGTTCTTCCAGACTGAAAAGAAGGAGCGCTGGGAAAACTTGAAAAGAGAGAACATTTATACAAAAAACCCAGCCCAAAATCTATTTACTCTTCTAGCAATTTTCTCAATTCCCCATGCTAATATGACTCCAAGTCCTGCTTAAATGATATCTTCCTCCTTGCCCGTTCTCCTTCCTGCTCAGGCCCGTGGTAGGCCCTCATTCTTCTGTTCCCCACATGCCACTTCATTGCTATCAGATTGTACATTGTCACGCAGGGCTGTGAAAAAATACAACTCAACATTTCTTTTTCCATACTGGGGTTTCTCGAGTCATTAAGACAATCAGCTCTGGCTGTGTGGCTGTCTGTGGGAATTGAAACTGGTGGTCTCAGTTCAGTTCCTAGTGGAGATGATTTCCCGTCACAGAAACCAGCCTGCTATTTGTCATCAGTTAGGCTCCTTTGTGACAAATCTGAGCAATATCGTCACAAGTGGAGCAGGCCATGGAAAGTGACCCACTTGGAAAGCAGTCCCCCTTCAAGCTGCTGGGCAGAATGGGAGAAACATGCATCGCCCTGTGCTGTGGAGAGCTCCTTCCCCAAAGGGCAGCTTTCAGGCACCATTTACTTTGCATTTTAAAAGGAAAAAAATACAGTGAAGAAATGTAAACAAGCAAGTTAGGGGGAACTGCATTTAAACAGGAGGAGCACCTTCTCCAGAGTGCAAGGCCCTTTTTAAAGCGTGTGTGCTGAATGATGGCTGCGAGCACCTAGCTGGTCATGCCCAAAAGATGATGTTAACGATGCTGTTGGAAACGGCCGGATGCGGAGAAAAGGCTGTTATCTGTTGGATCTGAGAGCACTGCCAGCTAAAAGGCTAATTTATGGGACCTGAAAAAGGGAAGATGAGATTCTAATCAAAGACAAGGAGCAACTTAAGTACCATGTTCGTATGAACTCACATGGAGGGAGAGCAGGAGAAAATTAGTATTTGCAGAAATTAAGGAGCTTTAATGTATGTCTGTTTAAAAATAGTAGCAGGGGCAGAAAGGACTGGGGCAGGGAGGGGGTTACTGGTAGTGGGGGATGACGCGCTCGATATGCCTCACCAGGGTGGGCAGGGGAGGCACAAGAGCAGCAGATGAGGTTCTCCAGTGGCCCACCACAGACATGGACATGCTTCTTGCAGGAAAGCTCTCCAAACCTGCCCAAGTCAGCTCATCTCTGTGTCGCACAGACTGGCGTGGCCTTCCTGGTACCATGCGTGCTCAACGCCGGCCTGCCTGCACCGGCTTACCAGCAGTGCCCACTGCCTCCAGCAGAGACCTTTGCACCAAGCCAAGAGCTGTTGCTTTGGAGAGGACACCAGTTGCTGGAAGCTGGACACAGTCCTCCACGGCAAATGACCACCATCAAGAAAAAAAATTGCTGTTTGTTTCTAGACTGACTTTATCTGGTTTAAGTCCAGGCACTGAGCGCTGCCTCCTGCCAGGTCCCTCCGACCCAGGGCAGAGCTCTGTCTGTCACCACACATCTCCCTACACACAGGCATTTGCAGACGGTGACCGCAGCTCCTCTTGGGCTCTCTCTAGGTGAACAAAACCAGCCACTCAGCATGAGAGGAGGTGCGGTTCCCAAAGAACATATCAAACTTGCAGCAATTTCCAGTCCTTCTTGTTGCCTGCCTGCAGCCCCTCTGATGCAGGGCAGCCTGGCCTTGAGGGCGCCCAGTATGCACTCCGGCCGTCCCCGTGGTCCTGCTCCCCGCTTCCCACAGGGGTCCGCAGGCTCTGGGGCTGAAGGGGATGCACCAGGTGATGGTGACTTGTGGGCTCTGCTACCTACGGCCTTTCGCTTCCCCAGTGACAGCTGCTGCTGTGCCTCCTGGTGCATAAGAGGAGTAGCTGGGGAAAAAAACCATGCAGCTCGCTTCCCTGAACACAGCAAGTGCCCTCCTACGTGCTCACCCCTCGCTCCTGCTGCCACAGCAGCCATCTCGGCCAGTGCTACCCCGCCTGGCAAGGGGAGCATTGGAGGTGCACAGCTGCCATGCTGCCTGGCAGCACCCACGAGGGCCTGAAATGGTAAATCCAGCCAAGCCCAGGAAAATGGGGTCAGAAATTACCACTCCCAGCCTTGGCAGAGAGAGGCAGAGCTGCAGCTCAGCTCTGATCCTCGCTTTTTGCTCATTCCCAGTCCTCTCCTCTCTGCAGCAATAGCGTGACTCCAACAGACATCGTTTTGTTTTGACACAGCAGAGCAGCAGCAGCGGCCTCGCCTTGCCACGGCTCGGTGTGGCGGCGGCGCTGCTCCCGGGCTGGGGGCCCTGGGGGCTGGGGGCCCACACCTCCCACTCTCGGGGAACCGCGAAGGGCTTCTCAGAGCAGCAGCACAGGCACCAGGCAGAAACACTCCCTCTGAATCCCCCGCCGCTCTATTTCCAGCCGAAAATCCGCTTCACTTCTCTTGTCCCCACTCCTCCAGAAACACAGAACGGTTTTAGTTTACAAAAGGGCTAAATCCCTGCCAAACTTCAAATTAAAACAGTGCTTTGGCTACAGCTGAGCATTAGAGAAAGCAAACAAGCAACCTCGCCCCCGGCCCAGCTGCCCTCCGCAGCACGGGAACCCCCGGACCTTGTCCTCAGACTGCCTTGGGGCAGCCCCGATGGCCATGCACGCTGCACACCGCGGTACCATCGTCAAACCAGGGGCACCGAGGAGCCTCCCAGGCTTCCCATCCTCAGGGCAAGTGTGAATGGGCCCGTGAAGACCCCCACCAAAAGCGCTCAGTGACATGAAGCCAGGCTGGGTGCTCGGTGCGGAGGTGAACGCCAGCAGGCAGCTATTTCCAGCCCCGGCACTGCCCTCCAACGCATCTGCCCTCGCTGCAGGCATGGCACCTCCCCGGCGCATCTTGATTTTGCACCTCTCGTCGTCACCGGTACAAGGCCAGGGAAACAGTGATGGTGGTGTGCATGTGTACGGCATTACAGTGGCATGACAGAGCACGGTTTTCCTCTCCCACCCCCTTAGTGCTGGACTACCCGGGTA